ACTTTGACAATGACGTATCTGATAAGGGTCTAATCTCTAAAATGAACAGAAAACTTCAACAACTCAACAACTAAAAGACAAACAATCCAGTTAAAACATGGGCAAAGGACAGACCCTTCACCAAAAAGGACATTCAGGTGGCCAACAAATACATGAAAAGATGATTGCGATCATTATCCATTAGAGAGATGCAAATTAAAACTGCAATGAGATACCATCTCACTCTGCAAAAATGGCAATGATCAAAAGAACAGAAAACAACAAATGCTGTCGAGGTTATAGGGGATTGGAACTCTTATACATTGCTGGTGGGATTGTAAAATGGCACAACAACTATGGAAAACAGTATGGCGCTTCCTCAAAAAGCTAGAAATAGAAATACTTTATGATCCAGCAATCCTACTCCTAGAGATACAAGAGCAGTGACACGAATAGACTTATGCACACCTATGTTCATTGCAGCATTAATCGTAATAGCAAAAAGATGGAAACAACCTAAATGCCCATCAATGGATAAACAAATGTGGTACATACATATGATGGAATTCTACACGACTTTAAAGAATAATGAGGAGGCTGCAAAACATAACATGGATAAATCTGGAGGACATTATGCTGAGTGAAATAAGTCATTCACAAAAAGACAAATATTGTGTGGTCCCACTATTGTAAATAGTCAAGAGTAGAGAGACACATAGAAAGCAAAGTTATTTTTTTTCCCTCTCTCTCACTCTCTCTATATGTATACATTATTTTTTAATTTTTATTTTTCTTAATCATTTGAGTAGATTGCATAAGTCAGGTCTCTTTACCCCTATTAAGTGTGTGTGTTTCAAGAACAAGAATAGTTTCTTTCTTTTTTAAAAAAAATTTTTTTCATTGTACTTTAGATAAAGGATTACTGAACAAATAGTTTCTCATTAAACAGTTAGTACACATATTGTTTTATGACAATGGTTAGCAACCCTGTGACATGTCAACACTGTCGCTTCTCAACCTTGGGTTCCCTATTACCAGCTTTCCTGTCCCCTCCTGCCTTCTAGTCCTTGTCCCTGGGATGTTGTGCCCCATTAGTCTCCTTTTGTTTTATGGGCCTGTCTAATCTTCGGCTGAAGGGTGAACCTCGGGAGTGACTTCATTACTGAGCTAAAAGGGTGTAGAGGGGCCATGCTCTTGGGTTTTCTCCAGTCTCTGTCAGGCCAGTAAGTCTGGTCTTTTTTTGTGAGTTAGAATTTTGTTCTACCTTGTTCTCCAGCTCTGTCCGGGATCCTCTGTTGTGATCCCAGTCAGAGCAGTCAGTGGTGGTAGCTGGGCACCATCTAGTTGTACTGGACTCAGTCTGGTGGAGGCCATGGTAGTTGTGGTCCATTAGTCCTTTGGACTAATCTTTCCCTTGTATCTTGTTTTCTTCATTCTCCCTTGCTGCCGTAGGGGTGAGACCAGTGGAATATCTTAGATGGCTGCTCACAGGCTTTTAAGACCCCAGACACTACTCACCAAGGTAGAATGTGGAACATTTTCTTTATAAACTATGTTATGCCAATTGAGCTAGATGTTCCCCGAGACTATGGTCCCCACAGCCCTCTGCCCAGCAATTCAGTCCCTCAGGGAGTTTGGATGTGTCTGTGGCACTTCCATAACCTTTCCTTGTACAAGTTGTGCTGGCTTCCCCAGTTTTGTGTACTGTCTTACCCTTCACCAAAGTAATCACTTACCTATTGTCTATTTAGTATTTCCCCTCCTACCCTTCCCATCACTTGTAACCAACAAAGATTATTTCTTTTTGTGTGTAAACTATTTCTTGAGTTTTTACAGTGGGGTCTCATACAGTATTTGTCCTTTTGTGATTGACTTATTTCACTCAGCATAATGTTCTCCAGTTTCATCCATGTTATGAGATGCTTCACAGATTCATCATTGTTCTTTATCGTTGGGTAATACTCCATTGTGCCTATGTAGCATTGTTTGTTTATCCATTCTTCTGTTGATGGGCATCTAGGTTGTTTCCATCTTTTTGCTATTGTGAACAATGCTGCAATGAACATGGGTGTCCATATGTCTATTCATGTGACGGCTCTTATTTCTCTGGGATATATTCCTAGGAGTGGGATTGTTGGATCATATGGTATTTCTATTTCTAGCTCAGAAAGCAAAGTTCTTTGATGGTTACTAGGAATGGGAGAGAAAGGAAGGGGGAATCACTTTCTAGATAGTAGACACTTGTTAATTTTGGTAATGGGAAAAGGAATCCAAATATGGGTGAAGTCAGCACAACCTGACCAAGGTAAATAAAGACACTAAGAAGTACACGAGAAAAGGGTAAAATTTTGGTAAATGCTATAACCTACACAATTTTGCAACAACAAAAAAATATGCATGTGGTTATGTAGGTAGATATGGATGCATATGTGGTATAGGAAGGCCTATGCAAGTAAATACATGTGCATGTATAGGTATAGCTATAGGTATATGTATATACACGTTTGTGTGCGCTGCATATGTATCCACGTATATAGCAAACCACATAGAGGGCACAGTTATGGAGGCTTCCTAGACATATCCAAACAACTCGCAGGATTGGTTTACTGGGTCAAATGGCTTGGTCCCATAATCTTGGGGGACAACTTAGTTAGTTGGCATAACATAGTTCACAAAGATAATGTTCTACATCCTAATCTGGTGAGTAGCATCTGAAGTCTTAAAAGCTTGCCAGTGGCCATCTGAGATACAACTATTGGTCTCTCTAGGTATGGAGCAAAAGAGAATGAAGGAAATCAAAAGCTCAAGGAAGAAACTAGTCCACAGGACTAGCAGCTGACACAAACCATAGCCTCTTCAAACCTGAGACCAGAAGAACTAGATGGTGCCCACCTACCACTACCAACTGTTTTGTCCAGTGACACAATAGAAGGTCCCAGATAAAATGGGAAAAAATGTAGAACAAAACTCATATTCTTAAAAAAGACCAGACATACTGGACCGATAGAGACTAGAGCAACCCCCAAGACTATTGCCCCAAGATTCCCTTTGAACTTGGAATTGAAGCTTTTTCTGAAGGTCACCTTTCAGCCAAATAATAGATTGGGTGTGAAATAAACAGTGTCACCCATGAGTAATGTGCTCCTTTAAACAATTAACTAAATGAGACCAAATGGTGAACAGTTACCCAAAAGCAAAGACGAGACAGCAAGGAGGGGAAGGGAAGCTAGATTAATGAAAACAGAATAAACAGAATGGAAATAATGAGAATGCTGACACATTGTAAAAATTGTAACCAATAGCACGGAACAATTTGTATAAAAATTGTTAAAGGGGAACCTAATTTGCTGTTTAAAGTTTCACCTAAAACACAATAAAAATTTTTTTCTTTTTTTTTTTTTAAATTTTTTAAACTGTACTTTAGGTAAAAGTTTACAGCTCAAGTTCATCTCTCATACAAAATTTTATACACATTTTGTCATGTGACAATCCCTACAATGTCGTGTGACAGTCCCAGCAATGTGACAGCACACTCCCCCTTTCCACCCCAGGTTTCCTGTGTCCATGCAACCAGCTCCTGTCCCTTCCTGCCTTCTCATCCTGCCTCCAGAGAGGAGCCACCCATTTGGTCTTGTATATCTGCTTGAACTAAGAAGCAGGCTCTTCATGAGTATTATTTTATGTTTTGTAGTCCAGTCTAGTTATCAGGAGGGATCAGTCCCTGGAGAAGGACATCATGCTTGGTAGAGTACAGGGTCAGCGAAAAAGAGGAAGACCCTCAACAAGATGGATTGACACAGTGGCTGCAACAAGGGGCATAACAACGATTGTGAGGATGGCGCAGGAGCAGGCAGTGTTTCGTTCTGTTGTACACAGGGTCGCTGTGAGTCGGAGCCGACTTCGACAGCACCTAACAACAGTAACAACAACAGTCTCGTCTAATCTTTGTCTGAAGCGTGTTCTCCGGGAATGGTTTTAGTTCTGGGTTAACATAGTATCTGGGGGCTATGGCTTTGGGGGTTCCTCCAGTCTTCATCAGACCATTAAGTCTCATCTAAAATAAACAGTGTCACCCATGAGTAATGTGCTCCTTTAAACAATTAACTATATGACACCAAGCGGTGAACAGTTACCCGAAAGCAAAGATGAGACAGCAAGGAGGGGAAGGGAAGCTAGATTAATGAAAACAGAAAACACAGAATGGAAATAATGAGAATGCTGACATCTTGTAAAAGTTGTAACCAATAGCATGGAACAATTTGTATAAAAATTGTTAAAGGGGAACCTAATGTGCTGTTTAAACTTTCACCTAAAACACAATAAAATATTATTTTTAAAAAATTAATTCAATAAAATAAAGAAGTTCCTTTTTAATTCAAATCATATTTCCTCCTTGCAAAAGGTTGGTGGTTTGAGTCCACCCATAGGCAGCTTAGAAGAAAGGCCTGGCAATCTGCTTCTGAAAAATCAGCCACTGAAAACCCTATGGAGCACAGTTCTATTCTGACACACAGGGGGCTGCCATAAGTCAGAACTGACTGGACGGCAACTGGTTTTTTTACCTGTACTTTAAGCCTGTTCCATTCTCTGTGAGAAGAAATTGGTCACTTTTCACCCCCGCAATCACCCTATATTTTCATGGGCCATGGCTAGAATGCTGTCCCTCAGCCTATGGTAAAATAACAAAGCGGAGCTCCCAGGGTCTCAGGCAGATGGACTGAGTTCCCCTACCGCTGTTTTTTTTTCCTTTCTTCTTGACAAGCCAGCGCTGCCGTTTGTCAGGGAGCCCTGCTGCCTGCCATGCCCAGCCGTTCCTGTAGGCCTGGCAGCTCCAGCTGGCCTCAGGGGAGTTTGGGTTAAGCCTTTCCGGATGAATTGCTTCCTGTCTCCTCGCCAGGAAATAAGTGGTGCCAGTTGTCACCTGTTCATTCCTTAGCCGCCAGCTTTGTAAGAGGACAGCATTTAGACACATCAGTCTGGCTCCAGACACTGGGCCACTCACGGCCATTTTTCTTTTTCAGAACAATAAATCTGAAAAACCCTCTGCTGCAGCAGGTGCTGGAGAGGAGGAATGAGGTTCTGTGTGTCTTGATACAAAAGATCGTGACGACGCAGAAGTGTATTATCTCTGAGCACGTTCAGATTGAGGAGAAGTGTGGCGGCATGGTGGGGATCCAAACCAAGATCGTGCAGGTGAGTGTCCCGGGGGCAGAGGTCACCGAGCCACGAGCCACAGTGGTGTCTCTGGACCCAGGAATGGAGACCTGGCCAGGGACCTCTTTTCTGGGGGGATGTCTTCATTAGTCAGGACTCTGGAGTGAGTTAACAGAAATCCAACTCACATTGGCTTAGTCAAGAAATGTATTGACCCATGTAGCCAGAATGTTGGGGGTAGTCTGGCTTCAACCACTGCTTGGTTTAGGACTGTAAAATTTATAGGAAGGGTGAGCCGCCTGCCCTCGGGCTGATTCCCTGTCAGATAGGCTCCCTCCTGTGGTGCCAGCAGCCCCAGTCTTTTCTCAGACCAGGGGAAAGAGTGCTTCAGGGCTGGCTCTTACTGGACCAACCTGGGTCATGTCCATTCCTGAAGTGAACCCAAGGCCAGGGCAACAGGACACTCAAAGATTGGTCAGGTGGGCCTGGGTCAGGTGCCTTTCCTGTGGGAGAGAGGCTTCTCTGAGGTAATGGGTACTGGCCAGGCTAAAGCCACAGATAACCACAGAGCTGCCTAGAGCCAGGGGTCTCAAAATGGTTACTTTGTGATCAGCTTCCTCAAATCCTTTGTGGATTGAGTTAGGGCAGGTAAAGATCAGTATATCAACAGATACTTCTGGATTAAATTATAGACAGTCTTCCCAAGCTGACCCATGAGCCAGTATTAAACTTTGATGGAATAAGTGGCCATCAACCCCAGACTTCCCCTCCAGCCTGCCACAGTGTTCCACTCTTAGAGATTTACTTCTTGAAGTTAAATTTTTTTAATATATTTTATTTTGTTGTTGAGAATACACATAGCAGAACATATACCAATTCAACAGTTTCTACATGTACAATTCAGTGACATTGACTACGTTCTTCAAGTTGTGCAACCATTCTTATCCTCCTTTATCCAAATTATTCCTCCCCTATTAACTTAAATTCACTGCCCCCTAAATTTCCGATCTAAGCCTTTGAGTTGCTACTGTCTGTTTGATCCCATATAAACCAGAAAAAAAACCTGTTGCTGTCGAGTCGATTCCAATTCATGGCGATCCTTTAGGACAGAGTGGAACTGCCCCATAGGGTTTCCAAGGAGCAGCTGGTGGATTTGAACTGTTGACTTGTTTGGTTATCAGCCAAGCTGATAACCACTGCACCACCAGGGCTCCTGATCCCATATAGATAGTTCTTAAAAGAGCACAATGCTCAAGGCAGGCATTCTATACTAATTAAGCTAAACTATTGTTTGGTTTAAAGAATACTTCAGGGGATATTTTTGGTTTAAGGTTAAATGATTATCTCAGGCAATAGTTTCAGGGGTTCATCTGGTCTCAGTGGCTCCAGAAATCTTGAGGTTAACTTTTGACTTTTTCTAGAGGACCCAGGAAAGTTGTGTTTGGAAGGAGGTGGAGATATAGCTCTGGAGCAGGAACTCTCCCAGAGGAGGGCTGGCCAGGCAGGCGGGAGATGGCTTAGGTTGATCTTGCCGATGCTTCTGCCGGCAGTCACCACCCACCAAAGTCCTGGAGTCCACCAGGGAGTCAGGGGGCTGGGCTGCCAGCTCTTGACCCAAGCATCACACTCTGACCAGGATCAAGTTGCCTAAAAAGTTCTTTGATCTCCAGTTTTGGGCCAACAAATAGGGTTTCTCATCTTCCTGTCCCTAGGACATTGTGGGAAGGGATCGTATTTGTGACAGTGTTTGCAGGAGAGAGTTTTGGTGCCTGATTTCTTGGCAGTTTCCTTCTCTCATCCTGCTCTCCTCTCCCCACAGCCACCTCTGCCCCCACTTTTGTTTAACAGCATAGTGTCCCACCCACAAGACCAGGCATTGGAACAAGCTTAGGGGTTCTCTTCTCAACTAGGCTCCCCCAGTCAAGCTTTGATATTGTTTGGGATTTTTGTTAGGATTTCAAAGTTGGTTCCATAACCCTTGGTGAGGAAAATTGGGAAGTTATCTTCTTTATTACCTTTGTCATTCAGCACCATAGATCCAACTTTACTGTATCCGACACTCTTGGTGCCAGGGGTTTGGTGGACCACTTGGGAATATGTGTAATAAGTCTGATTCCAACAAGCTAGCCTCTGCCTTCTGCCTCCTCTTCTCCACTCGGCTCAGTAGACATTTTCTGAGCACCTGTGGTGCAAGGCATAAGGCTGGCCCTGTGGCGATGCCCGGAGAAGCCAGGCGGAGTCTGAGTTCACGGGTGACTGGCATCCTGGTGGAAGAGTGTGCTCTCGCCCACAGGTGTCAGCGACGGATGATGGGAACGTGGTCAAGGACTCCAGCGTGGTGCTGGAGATCCCAGCTTCCACCACTATTGCCTGTGGCATCATCGAGTTGTATGTGAAGCTGGACGGCCAGTTTGGTGAGTACTTTGGAAAGGAGAGAAGCAAGAGATAGCAGAAGAGGATGTCCCATGACCTGGTCCCTGGACCCGTGGGATGTATTGGGTGGGCCTTGGGGAGGGGATGTGAGGAATAGCTCCACCTTCCTCTCCCCAGTCACTGATATGGAGCGAGGTTTCACCAGCACAGCATGGGGTTAAGAAGTCAGACAGACTGGTCATCAACCCCAGCACCATCACATCCTCAGAGGTTTCCAGCAGGCTGTTGAATCTTGCTAAGCCTTAGCTTGCCCTTTTTCAGAAGGGGAAATATTCCCTCATGGGGTGATTGTGAGGATTGAATTAGATCGGGCATATGAAATGCCTGGCACAGGGACCATTTATTAAGTACTCCATCTTAGCTATTAATAAGATTGCCATCATTATGATTATCCCTCCCTCCTCCAATATAAAGCTAAAAATAAACTGACCCTCTGCTGATCACAAGTGTGTCCGAAGCTTGGAGGTCTTGGTTGTTGCCGTGTTGTTTTTGTTGTTCTTAGGTGCCATCGAGTCGGTTCCGACTCATAGCGACCCTATAGGACAGAGTATAACTACCCCATAGGGTTTCCAAGGAGTGGCTGGTGGATTTGAACCGCTGACCATTTGGTAAGCAGCCAAGCTCTTAACCACTATGCCACGAGGGCTCCGTACTTAGAAGGTCATTGCCTTAGTTAGAAGAAAATAAGGGCTTTAATTTAGCTAGTGTCTGCTGATCTTAGATGGTCACAACTCCTTCCCTCATGCTTCTCCCAAGAGGAGGGAGTGTCGAGCCCGAGAAAACTGGCCACTTCTTGGGACATGAGTAAATAAATACAACGTAATAACCCTAGTGGTGCAGTGGTTAAGAGCTATGACTGCTAACCAAGAGGCTGACAGTTCGAATCCACCAGTCGCTCCTTAGAAACCTTATAGGGCAGTTCTACCCTGTCCTATTGGGCTGCTATGAGTCAACTCAATGGCAACAGGTTTTTTAAAACATGATATTATGGTTATGTTTATGAAAAAAGACTCCTTATTTTTTTGAAGATTCATACTGAAATACCAGTGACATGGTAATATGTCTGTGATTTGATTAAAAAGTAAAATGGGGGCAGTATAGGGGGTATGTGTGTGTTGGAGGGGGGTTGGGGTGAAAGAAGATTGGCCAGGAGTTAATAGTTGTTGAAGCTGGACAATGGGTCGTGATACTGCTCTCTCTGTTCTTGTACAGTTTGATATTTTTCATAATAAAAATGTTTTTTAAAAATGTGCCATAATGGACTATGCACATCTGTTCCTAACTCCTGCTGTTCCCATTTGTTTTCAGTCAAAGGGCAGGATCAGGAGTGAGTCTTCAATTGACTAGCCTTTGGCACTTATGAAGCCCACCATGAGTTACCATAAACATACCACTCAGTTACAACTGTGGGACTCAGAACAGACCAAAATGCTAACTAGGCTTATGTGACTGTTGAAAAGTCAGCAGGTGTTTGAGGAGCAGTAGAAGAAACAGCCCAGGATGCTATCCCTGAGGAGCCTCCCTCTTTCATTTTACCAGTGAGGCAGCCTGCCTTTCAGGAGGTGAAATGATTTGCCTGAGGTGACATAAAGAGAAGGTGTCTATTTTAAGAAATAGGCTTAGAGAGGTAAGTCAGGGCCACATGAGATACCAGGCCAAGAACCATGACCTACAACCTTTAGGCCCATAATTCCAAATTTTATGTCATCATGGGCATTTTAGAAACCAATATTTTGTTTTTTCTTTTTGAAAGAATGTTGTTTACCAAACAACTGCAGTTATTAAGATGATTCAGCTTTTCCTCAGGTTGTTATTCTTACCTGTATATGAAAAGCAGTATTGCCACATGAGCTGATGTGATTCCAGCCCTGGCGCTTATGCCCTGATTATCCTGTCAGCCTTACTGAAGGTGACTGTGTCGTGTTTTTAGGCCTTTTGAAATCTTGGCTCCACCTGAGAATGCCGAAGAGAGCCTTCTGGACGCTTCAGAGACTGGGAGCCAGAGCAAGCCCCTTCCTATTTGCCCAGAGAGGCAGCTGTGCTCTGCCAGCCCTGTGGCTCCAGGGCAGCCTGTGGATCCCTCAGGGGCCTGCCTCTAAGACACAGCCTTGCTCTGTGTGGGTCTTCTGTTTGCATTTCAATTTCAAGCCTTTTTTCTTGCTTGCTTCCGCTGTCTTTGAAAATAAACTCCTCTTTGTGCTGCTGAGAAAAGAGGTACCCTGGGGGTTTCTCAGCCATCCCTTTGGCTCCTCTCCCACACCCTGGCCTTAGGAGGCAGCTCCCCTGCGCTTTCCCACTGCCAAGCGCAGTGCCTTTGCAGCTTGGCGGGCAGGCGCTGTTCATGTGACTCACTGCCTGATTTTTAAACCAGTTCTGCTTTTTTTGCCCATCTGTGTTTTCTATCACTCTTGCCACAGAATGTTCTGATCCAGCTTCACAAACATAGACTTGCAGGGCCTGGAAGGAAGGGCCATTAGGAAGCTGCCTGATCTCTACTGGGTGGGATGCTCTCTGAGAGGGGTCCTGTTTATCCTTTTTCAACAGTGAGAGGAGGCCGACTCCAGGGTCCTTTGGTGAAGCTGGGAGGGGTGTCTCAGCCACTCAGTGTGGCCCCTTCCTCTCTAGCCGTCCACCCAACCCCCACAGCCGCACATGTAGACAATGAGAAACATCTTTTTTATTGTCTTGAACTTTAGCCTTGAACTTTTGTACAATTAGGGATTAAAAAAAAATTTTAGTTTTTTAATTGTTGTAAAAATATCTGTAACACAACATTTGCCAATTTCATGTTTTTCACATGCCGATTTAGTGACATTAATTACATTAATCATGTTGTGCAACTGTCACCAGTATCTGTAGCCAAATTTTCCATCACCATAAACAGAAACTCACTGCTTTCTAAACAATGGCTCCTCCCGCCCCACTCCATAACAACTAACAATTCGGGAATTTCCAGTGTCCTTTTGGCTTAGATTTCCCGTTGGCTGACCTGTGTACATGGATCTGGTATTTCCCACCTATGTCCCGAGTCTGTCCACTTCTCCGCAGGCCACTGGTTCAGATGGCAGCACCTCCCCCGGGCTTCCCGCTGCAGACTCTTCACTGGCTCCTCCGCCTCTCTGATCTTTCCCCGTCTGTTCCATCCTTGCGATGTACCAATATGATGATTCTAAAATAGAAATGCGATCATTTCGCTCCGTGCTTGTACAGCCGTCCATGGCTCTGGTGTCCCAAGGACAGAGTCTGAGCTTCTGGGTGCCTGGTGGTCTAACCCCGCTGTGTTCAGCCTTCCCTCTCGTCACCAGCACCAGCCAGCCCTGTGGTCTTGCCAGAGTCAACCCGCCATCCTGGAAGGAGCCCCTTTCTGTCTCACCCCTGAGGCCTGTGCCTGCTGCGCCTCCTGCTTAGGGCACACTCTCTGTCTCTTTGCCTGGCTCACTCCTCCCAAATCTGCTTCACCCAAGCAGCCTTTGCTGGTCTCATCTCACCTGCCACTTTGGTTTCAGGGACGCTTCTGCTTCCTCCAACACCACCCGGTTAGCCCCTGTCCTTCCTCTTCCCATGCTTATTGTCATGGCCTATGCTTTAGTCCTGTTGTATCCGTGGCGCCCAGCACAGTGCCTGGCACAGAGTAGGGTGTCATTTCACATCTGCTGGGCGAAGGGGATGGATGAAAAGCCTTCCAGGGCTGTGCCTGTGTTAGGCAAGAGTGATGTTGGTGCCATGGACTCCGAAGGTCCCGGTTGGCTCTGCATTATTTTGGGGGCAGCACAGGGCTCCTGAAAGAGTTTATGGCTGTATTAACAGCCATGGCCCCTGTCTTCTTGTTCTCTTGTTCTCCTCCTGCCCTGCCTCCATAAACACTGGCCAGCCATGCTCCCTGGGCCAGCGACCTGGCCTTTAACTCACAGAAGAGAACCAATGACTGTTCACCTTTGTTCATTTATTTTTGTGCTTCAGCTGAAGGAAGAAAACCACTCAAGTTTGAAGTCTTTCCTCCATGTTGTGTGTTTATGTTACTTTCAATAAATAATGTTTTAAGCTGTGCTTCTATGAAAAAGGGTGAAGTGGTCTGAGACAATGATCTGAGTCAGGAACATGCACCCAATCACCTGCCATGAATCTCGTCGAGTTCTGGGTTTAAGTGGTCTCTCATCACTGAGCCTGTGCACCAAGTGCTGAGAACTGGTCCTGAAGCTGGAGCTGGAAGGATAGGGACCAAAGTCATTATCTGGGAGCCTGTGCAAAGGGCAGAACCTGCTGCAAAGGGCAGAGCCTGGGGTACCTGCATGCCCAGCAAGTGGGAATCAGTTGAATGAATAAATGAAGGGTTGGCTCACTTGTCTTAAGACAGACCGTGTACCTTTATGGGCATTATTAGTGCCTACAAGCAAATGAAAATGTGTGCTAAGATCCATGCAGCCCATGTTTCATGCAGCTACCAGGCTCAGCACATTTTCATTTGCTAACCCTTGCTTCAGGGGACAAATTATTAAATAGAAGCTTAAAGAGAACTCAAATTCATGAGTTCCCTTACTGTTTTTGCTTAGTAAGAACATAAGTATTACATTTTTAGCTGTAAGTTAGATACTTTAGCTGGGCTATCAAATATGGAAATGTTTAAGGAAACATGTCTTTTTATCATTTTTAAAAAACTTTTTATTAGGGAACATTTCACATATGTACAAAGTAGAGATAAAAATATGAAGAATCTCCACATGTCTACTGTCCAGCTTCAATAACTAGGGCAAGTCATGTTGCATCCATACCTTCACCCACCTCCCCCCACCCCAAATGGATTATTTTGAAGTAAATCCCAGGCATTATATTGTTTTGTCTGTAAATATTTCAGTGTCTCTAAAAGATAGGGTTTTTAAAAAAAAAAAAACTAGTTAAGACTAGTTTTGCCTTTACTGGAGCCCTGGTGGCGCAGTGGTTAAGAGCTCGGCTGCTAACCAAAGGTCAGCAGTTCAGATCTACCAGTTGCTCCTTGAAAACCCTTTGGAGCAGTTCTACTCTGTCCTGTAGGGTCACTATGAATTGGAATCGATGCAACGGCAATGGTTTGGTTTGGGTTTTTTTTTTTTCTTTTACTGAACCTTACATAAATAGATTCATACAGAATGTATTCTTTTGTGTCTGACTTTTTTCACTCAACATAATGTTTGTGAGATTCATTCATATAATTGCAGAAATCAAGAGTTCATTTTTATTGCTGTGTATCATTGTATTTTTTTATCATTCTGTTTATTCATGAAAAGAAGTTGACTCTTTTTAAAAACATAATCACAATACCATTTGCACACCTAAATATATTGACAAGAATTCCTTAGTGTCATCAGTGTTCAGATTTTCCCAGTTGTTTCATACATGTTGGGTTTTGTTTATTTAGAGTTGGCTTGTTCAGATCTGGAGCCCTGGTGGCGTAGTGGTTAAGTGTTCAGCTGCTAACCAAAAGGCCAACAGTTCATCTGGCTGTTTGAATCCACCAGCCGCTCCTTGGAAACCCTGTGGGGCACTTCTACTCTGTCCTGTAGGGTTGCTGTGAGTTGGAATTGACTTCACGGCAACAGGTTTGGTTTTTGTTGTTGTTGTTCAAATCAGGATAAGGACATATTTCTAATGTTTCTAATGTTACTCTTGTTTGAAAGATTGCTTCTTGCCTGTTCAGAGTACACATTAGCAAGCTTTATGTTAAGAACAACCATTTCTTCTATATTTGTGGGAAGTGGCTGGGTATTTTGTTCAAACATAGCATAATGTGCATAGGAAACAGGTTTAACAAGGGTAAGTGAGTGGATGTGTCTCCCTACCCCACCATGAGTTAGGTAAGGCCGAGGGTCTAAGATGTGCCAGTAAGTGACCATGCCTTGCTTGTCCTTTGCTCCTGCGTTACAGAATTCTGCCTCCTCCAAGGGAAGCGTGGTGGCTTTGAGGATGAGAAGACAAATGACTTCCTCTACCTGGACCCCACGATCTTCAGAAAGTTTGCTTTTGCAGACATGCCAGATGCTGGGCATGGAGTGTCTTCCCCGGGTGGGCTGTTAAGTGCTTTAAAACAAGGTATTGCTGCAGTGGGGGTGTGGTGGGTGAATGGCTAATTGAGCACAGACCTCAGGAGGTGGTGTGGCCTTCAGGATCAACATCTCCCCATTTTATTAAGGACTCTCAGTGACCCCATGGAAAACATTTGAAAACAGAGAGGATGGTGCCTTCAAGAGCCCTGGTCCACTCAGCATGATTTACCTTGGCTAGGATCCTAGGGGACCTCAGCTGTGGACACCATATTTTGAGGAAAGGGTTGGGGGACGGTGGTGGGAAACCTATTGCCATTGAGTTGATTTTGACTCATAGTGAGCCTATGTGTTACAGAGTAGAATTGTTCCATAGGGCTTTCTTGACTGTAGTCTTTATGGAAGCAGATCGCCAGGCCTTTCTTCTTTGGTACCACTGGGTGGGTTTGAACCGCCAACCTTTAGGTTAGTAGCCAAGTGCAAACATTTGTGCCGCCTAGGGACCTCTACCCTGAATGGGGCAGGGGTGGGAGATCGAGGGGTGAAGGAGCCAGGGGCCTGGCATTTTTCTTTTGTTTGATCCACTTAAGCTTTGCTGACTACTAAGAATAGCTAGTCAGCAGCAGGGAGAGAGAACCCGAGTTTTGCATCTGCTTCATTATATTCCAGGCTTCAGTGCCAAGACAAACGATGCTTTGTCAGTGTTGCATAATGCTCTCACGGAGGCTCTTCATCCACATGGCGTGAAGATATGGTGCCATGGCATCCTCAGAGGAGGAGGAGCGGTACCCAGACATGCCCACAGTAGTCCTTTGCTCCCCACGGCATCTTGTGTTTTAAAAAAGCTGTTTTTGGGGTTTTGGGGTTTTTTGGTCAGTGGGGGAGTGCAGTGGGTAGTAAAAGTAGAGGAGTTGGGGAGTTGGGCAAAGAAAAGGAGAAAACATAATGAGGTAAGAGCTGAGGAAAAAGAGCTTGGAACAGCTCAGAATGTGCTCTGGCTTGAAGGATTAGAAGAGTGACTGTCAACAGGCTTCAGTGGGTCCCAAACGTGAAAATGCTTTTGTTTCTGTAGCAAAAAGGTCAGTGTTAGAAGAAATGGCAGTGAAGGGCCAATCTTCAGATAAGACTTTCTCATCTTAGGAGTCCCTGGGCAGCGTAAACCGTTAACATGCTCGGCAGCTAACTGAAAGGTTGGGGGTTTGAGTCCATTCAGAGGTGCCTCAGAAGAAAGGCCTGGGGATCTGCTTCCAAAAGGTCACAGTTATTGAAAACGCTATGGAGCACAGTTCTGCTCTGATACACACAGGTTTGCCATGAGCCAGAGTCAACTCTATGGCAACTGTTTTTTTCCCTTCTTATGCAGGGCTGTAGGCCCCTCCTCTGCCTTTCTTGAGACAGATAATTAGCAGGTCCACCTGGCCGTTCTGGTTTGAACCCCTGCTGAGAATTTGCATTTCTAACAAGTTCCCTGCTGAGAATTTGCATTTCCACCCCAGATATACTGAATCAGACTCTGCATTTTAACAAGTTATACGTAAGGTGATCCTTATGTATAACTTCCTAGGAACTTATTAGAAATGCAAATTCTCAGCAGGAAACTTGTTAGAAATGCAAAATCTCAGAAGGAGTTCCAATGGGACCTAGCCGGTTGGATCCCTGATAATTAGGTGTGATTTTCAGCTGCCACTTAATCAATGTGGCGAGTTAGAACCCAGTAGCAGTAGGCTGCAGCCTTGACCAGCACTATAGGGAAATGAAGACAGTCCACGAACTGGACAGTGCATTGTAAGCTGGGGCTCGCAGAGACCTACCAGTACTACCATTTGCTATCAAGTTGACTTCGATTCATGGTGACCACAACTCATGGCATCCCCATGTGTGTCAGAGTAGAGCTGTGCTCCATAGGGTTTTCAATGGCTGATTTTTTGGAGGTAGATTGCCAGGCCTTTCTTCTGAGGCACCTCTGAGTGGATTCAAACCCCCAACTTTCAGTTAGCAGCCAAGCCCATTAACCATTTGCACACCCATGGACTCCAGCAGAGACCTTGTTGTTTTAAATTGCTGTCGAGTCTGACTCATGGAGACCCCATGTGTGCAGAGTAGAACTCCTCCATAGGGTTTTCAAGGCTTCGACCTTTTGGAAGCAGATTTCCAGGCCTGTCTTCCAAGGCACCTCTGGGTGAGTTCTTAACTGCCAACTTTTCAGCTAGTAGTGAAGCACTTAACCATTTGTGCCACCAAGTTTGTGTTTATAGGAGTGTTTCTGCGTATGTCGGTTACTCCTGTTATCCATCCTCTCTATGGGGCTTTCTACAGCTGTTTGCTGGAGTTTGTCATCCACGGATGTGGTGCGTTCAGCTATTAGTATGTATCCTTGCATATGAAAGCATTGTCTCAACAAGTTTTGTTTGTTTTTTTAACTCACTTCACTTAATTTTGTTATAAATTTTTTACTATCTTAAAAATAATTGAAAAAGGATTATAAGGGGAGAGGCTCCCAAGCAGCCAGTAGACAATGGAAGTAACAGCAGAATGGATCTCAGTGCTCATCCCCGAGGAGAGGTAGAGAAGGAAAGGATAGAGTAGCTGTGTCTGCCATGAGACTAGGGAGCCAGTCCCTTTGAAAAATATGCATTAAATATTAAAGGATACAAAATCTGCCAGGAACTAGAAGAAAGGATGTGAAAAATAATGTATTTTGGACTTTGTATGGCTCTGAAGCATTGTAAAAGTACTGACTTATGTTGACAAATTCAGCCTTGATGATTTACTTCTGCAGAAATGATGCTAAACAGCAGTCTAAATGACTTTTCCAGAAGAGAATTGATTAGACTTAATATTTAGGGAGTCATTAGAGAAGACACTGAAGCCTGAAATACAAAACTGGGCTTCTCTTTCTCTCTCACTCCGTCCCTCCCTTCCTTTCTTCTGGTAACAGTTTGGTTGGTTATTGAGAAACAGTCGGCCCTACTCTGACTTTGCTGGTAGAAATATCTGTGAGAGAACTGATGACAATGAGCTATAAAAACCAAGAGACGCTGTTCCTTGTTGGAAGACACACACAGCCATTCCAAGACCGGGTATGTTCTGTTGCTTTCACAGACGCTCTGCTCTTGGAGAAGAGTTTCCATCCCTTTGTGGAGCTGCCAGAGCAACAGCAGACAGCTCTGAACAACATCCTGCAGACAGTCCTACTTGATGACGAATTGCTTATGGCCCTGGAAAGAGTGGTAAGGCCAGAGACCTCTCGAGGCCGTGTCTTCACCCTGGGTTTTCTGGAAACGTGGATAGGCTAGACCTCTCCGGACAAGACTCTGAAATTCTGTTAAAAATGTCCCCACCTTCTTTTAACCCTAAACCTTGTCCTTTTTCTCTCTTACTCCTAGGCCCTTAGTTTTCTAACCCCAGTAAGGTAGCTGACATCAGAAATAGAGTGGTATATTAGTTTCCTAGGGCAGCTGCAAAACATTGCCACCAACTTGGTGACTTAAGACAATAGACATTCAATCTCTCACAGTTCTAGAAGCCAGAAGTCCGAAATCAAGGTGTTGACAGGACCACATTCCCACCAAAGGCTCTGGAGGAAGATCCTTCCTTGTCCCTTCCAGCTTCTGGTGGCTCCTGGCATTCCTTTGCTTGTGGCACCATTACTCCAATCTCTGCCTCATCTTCACAGGGCCTTTCTCTCTGTGTCTTTTCTCTTTTTATGACTCTTATAAGGACTCCCATCATTGGATTTAGGGCCCACCCTAATCCAGGATGATCTCATCTAGAGATTTTTTACCTTAATTACATCTGCAAAGACCGTTATTCCAAGTAAGGTCTCATTCTGAGGCTCCACGTGGGCATATATTTCAGGGGGCCACTATTTAACCCAGTACAAAGAGGATACATGGTAGAGTTCAAAAAGTCACCGTATTTTATTTGAACAGAGAAGCGGGCTTTTGTATTTTTTTCTGTTTTTCAGCAGAAGGATTTCCCTGGAAGGCTGAGCTCCTAACTATTAGTTGTGATGACGGATGCCAGCTGCCAACCTCCCTGGGCCCACATTTTGTGTCTCCTTCACTTAAGGGGCCTGAGGCTCTAGGAATCTGACTTACTCTGATTTTGTTTTTTGTTTTTTTGTTACTCTGTTATGCAGAGAGTTTAAGCTCTGATGTAATGCTTTATGATTTTCAGGAAAGCATGCATATTATTTTTCTCTCTTGAAATTAGATTGTGCCAAAAAGAGCTTAGTCATCAGCGCTGAACCTGCAGTGGTTGAAATGGTCTAGCAGCTCAGGGTACCTCTGCATTATGGTGGACGTGGACTCCACGGGAGGGCCTGCAAACCCCAGGGAGACACACATATTTCAAAAAGCCCATCAACTTTTACTTCTGAAAATGGCTCCTTCCAAGAGGAAAATGTCAGGCCAACACCCTGTGGAAAGAGCATCAGCTACCCTGTCAGATGTGGAGAAGCAGCCTGGCTGGGTGGTGGGGGCACAGGTGGCTTCATACAGGAGAATCTGGACCACAAGCACAGAAGGAGTGGAACCAGTTGGTGGTGCCGAGGCAGCTAGGGCGGCCACAGCAGGCCCCATGCGGATGGATGTGGCTGCCGAGGGCCCAGCAGGAAGCATGGCTGGCGGCTGGAGCACTAACGCGAAAGCCTGAGCACCACTGTCTTAGTTTCTTAGTGCTGCTGTAACAGAAATACCGCAAGTGGCTGACTTTACAGAACAGAAATTTATTTTCTCATAGTTTAGGAGGCTAGAAGTCTAAATTCAGGGCACCAGCTCTAGGAGAAGGTTCTTTCTCTGTCAGCTCTGGGGGAAGATCCTTGTCTCAGCTTCTGTAACCCCTGTGTTCCCTGGTTCCTTGGAGATCTCCACGCAGCATCTGTCTTTCCCTGATTTGTTCTTACTTGCCTCTGTCTATGCTGCTGTTTATAAATTTAGGACACACCCTACACTGTTAGGGCCTCACAAGCATAACAAAGTCCGAACCCAAATGGGATTACATCCACAGGTATAAGGGTTAGGATTCCAACACATATTTTGGGGGACACAACTCAGTCCACAACAACCACGATGGTTCTTTATGTTCCCCTCTCCCCATGAGACCAAATTGAACCCACAGCAACTAACAAACAACCCCACGTTCTGTATTTGATCACTTGTACCTGGTCCCTAGTACAACCCTACAGCCCCGACCCTGGTCTGGAACGTTCTACCCAGTAGTCCCTGCATGCCTCCTCCCCTGCTGGGCAAGCTCAATTTACTATCTCTGTATGAGGAAATTTAACCCCAAAGATTAGTAATTTCAAAAGCTCAGGGTCTTCTTCCTTTGTTGTTGGGTGACCTCCTGTCAATTCCAACTCATAGGGATTCCATGTGACAGAATAGAACTGCCCTATAGGGTTTTCTAGGCTGTAATCTTAACAAGAGCAGATAGACAGGTCTTTTTCCCATGGAGCTGCTTGGTGGGTTCGAACCACCAACCTTTAGGTTAGCTGCCAAGGCTTCTTCTTGCTTCCCTTGGGAGGTGGTGAAGGCACAGGGGTGTGTAGTACAACCTACCTTACTCCAGGTTCACCATCCTGCCTCCTCTCTCCCCTCTGCCCTGCAGTTCGATGACGTGGCCAGCGGCCTCTTGCCCCCGCAGGCACTGGTGGAGGAGCTGAAGCCCCCGCAGCAGCAGGACCTCACGGCCTTCCTGCAGCTGGTGGGGTACAGCCTGCAGGGTGGGCACCCAGGGCAGGAGAATGCCCTCAGCAACCAGGAGCTCTTTTCAACAGCCTACTTCTTTGTCAGTGCACTAGCAGGTATGCAAAAAAAAATAAAATAAAATAAGGAAAGAAATGGCCGTTGTTGCTTTGAAACCACTTTGCTTACTGTACATGCTTCTGGGGATACAGAAATTATAATAATTGTGGGAGATTTGATACATATTGTTCCCTCCCTTTCAGCAGAACAGAGAGGATTCAGTGTCCAAGTGGAAGGCTGAGGATGTGTACATGCCTACCATGAAAAATCATAGACTTTAGCATGAAGGAGGCCTTTCTGCCCGCCTCAAGCCTCCTCCACCATCTCTGAGAGTACCTCTTCTCCCCCGTCTCGGGGAGGCCTCTCACGGGCACACTCCCTGCCAACACAGGAAATAACCTCCCAAAAATACAGCCTGTGATTCATACGTGCCACCAGGTGAGCTGAGTGGCAGCAGCATTCATTTGGCGACTCATCTCCTCCAGCCTTTCGGCCCTCTGATCCTCTTGTGCTGCAAACTTAGCTTCCCATCCCTCATGCAGTATGGTCACTGTGGGGGGCAGGGAAGGTCCTGAGAGTCTCCGGAGGCCCCGACTTGTGGCTGGGCCCAGTGCAGCTCCCCAACTTCCCCACCAGTCACGAAATGGCCCTCCAAGCGCAGTGGCATCCTGTTACTAGGAGTGGTGGATCGAGAGTAACAACACTTCCCTCCCTACCACGTTTTGCTACCACTCCCCTCCAGAGCTCACCATGCCAGGGGCCTATAGCATGAGAAGGTGGTCACCTTGTCTGAAGAAGCTAGGCTTTCAGTTCCTTCTCAGGAAAGTAAGATGTGGCAAACCAGCCTCCTAGTCCCCACAGCTTCCCTTCAAGGTATGTGAGTCAGGGCCCTGGGATCCTGATGCATCCAGGGTCCCTCCTCAGCACCTCAACTCAGGAGCACAGGCCCAGGAACCTTCAGTTTTTAAAGGATTAATCAGAGACAATGCCTCTCCCAGCTATACAACCTGATGAATGTGTACTCTGTGTCTTGTGGCAAGTCATGGACAAAAGTTTTGACTGGTCGACTGGGAAAGGATGTAAGACAGAGTCCTGTGGAACTCCACTAGAGACCTGTTCCAATGTTAACATCAGTTTATTAGTCCGACTGTGGGTTCAAGCATCTGTCGGGCTAATCCACAGGCCAGATTCTCCATCTTTTAAGAAGCCTTTTCTTCACATAATCTATCACTTACTGAAACATTTTTATCAATAGGCTGCATCAGTGATGTCAGATATTGCAAATCCACCACAGTTCTCTTCCCCCTGAACCAGGACACGGCCTCAGATTCTCTGCAACCTTGCACCAGGCAGCTCCTCGGAGTTGACACATAACATCAAGCGTATTTGCTGTTTCTGAGCTCTGAGCTCAGGGATTGTGAAATCTTTAAATGCAGCTGAAAATCTCACAGCCAATTTCTAAACCAAAGAAAGATGCTCTTTCCCAGCTCACTGAAGTGCGATCTCATTTACATGTAGGTCGCAGCAGAGGTCAGCTCTGGTGTAAAGCCCTTTCATTAGTGCCCTCAGTAATCCTCAGCCCTTCTGAGCTGACCTTTTGCTGCTACGACAGCATGGTCTTCTCTCCTTAGAATCTAGGGAAAGTGCTGGCACAGATGATGGGCTCTTCTCAGGTCCTCTTTCCCGTTTTCGGTTTTGTAGTGCTTTTCCCTGTTTAAAGTACTTCAGTCCCAGCATCTGACCTTTCTCCTGGAAAGCCTGCTACACCACTCTGTGATCTTAAGCAAGTCCCGAACTCTCTGAGCCTCATTTGTAAAATGGAAACAGTATGTGCAAGAGCAACCAGAATCATTCATTTCAGTTCAAACACCATTGCAGGAACCTATATGTTGTGTTTTAGGCGCTGCTAAGCCCTGAGGTAGGAGGCAACATCTAGTTCTTGCCCTTAAGAAAATCAGGGTTGGGTAGTAGCGTTAGACAGTAAGCTCTGTGAGGCAGAGGCTGTTCTTTCATCCCATATCCAGAGCACCTAGCACCATACATGGAATAAAAACCAAACCAAAACAGCTGCTGTGGGGTCGATTTCAACTTACGGCGGCGACGCCATGTGTATCAGAGTAGAACTGTGATCCATAGGGTTTTCAATGGCTGGTTTTTCAGATGTAGATTGCCAGGCCTTTCTTCTGAGGTGCCTCTGGGTAGATATGAACTGCCAATCTTCTGGTTAGCAGCTGAGCACTTAACCATTTCTGCCACCCAGGGACTCCATACTTAGATTAGTGAGTAACTAAATGAGTAACACGGAACTAACATGTTACAAGAATAAGGGATCATGATGATTACATGGAGCTTGGGAGCCCCCCTGAGAAGTGAGGGGACCGATGCACAGACAGTGAGATGCCTACACCAGTGGCTCAGCCAGGACTTCACGGCCCTGGTGACTTTGTCCTCCAGGCCATGTATACTTTCCATCCTCATGTTACTGGTTTTGGGTAAGGGCCTGAGAATTTGTTGAAAACTGTGCGTCCTTTCTGTAGGAAAATGCACATGCAACATTTGAATGCAATTTTAGGGGTTTCTCTGGCGAAGTCATCCCCCACCCGGGGCTGCCCCATTCTCCTGGCAGCCTTCGCCCTTCCTTGGGAATAAGCCACCATTCATTCACTGAACTCTGCTGGGTCACAGCCTCAGCAGCAGGCTGCTGCATTTTATAAATAAGGCTGCTAATGAATGCAGGAGGTTTGCTGAGTTCATGAGCAGTCCCTGGGCCAAATGATTCAGCAGTTGACTCCTTTTCTCTTTTGCCTTTTGAGGCTCAAAGGGTGACTTGTTGATATTCCAAGGGAATTGAGGTCCTTTCAGGAACTGCATCTGTTTTACCCTGGGAGCCATCTAGAACCCGTTTTGAATAACACTGACCTGCATTTCCTTTCCCTGGGGCGGGGCAGGGCCCTCCTGGTGCGATAAGTCAAATAAGGAAACTGAGGCTCAGAGAGGTCTACACAAGTCACACCTCTAATATGTGGTGGGATTTAGACATAGATCCTTGGTCCCCAAACCCAGGCTTTTTGTGTTTTTTCCACGCGGATTCCCTTGCCCCTGAGTCCACACAGTTCTTGACTGGCACATCGAATGTCAGGCAGTGTCCTCTGGTGAACCACGGCTGGTTACAGGACTCCTGCGTCTGTTTTGAAAAAGGCCTTTGCTGCCTGTTTAGCACCATTCATTCATTTATTCCGCATTTATCGAGCACCTACTTTGCCAGGCTGGGGCAAAGTACCAACGCATAAATTAGGTTTAATCCAGGGGCTGGCTCTGTTCCCATGGACTTTTTTGGAAAGTGACTATGATTTTTGTCTCCTGCAGAAATGCCAGATAACGCAGCAGCTCTGCTGAGCGCTTGCTGTAAACTCCAGATTATTCCCACGCTGTGCCACTTGGTAAGGAACTTCTAGATGGGGGTGGGTAGGAATGGGGAAAAGAGGAGGTGAATGCTTACTAGTTGATAAAACACCACCAGCCTTTCTCATCCACAATAGCCCTTCACGCTAAACCCGCGGCCATCAAGTCGAATATGACTCATAGCGACCCTATAGGACAGAGTAGAACTGCCTCATAGGGTTTCCAAGGCTGTAGTCTTTACAGAAGCAGACTGCTACATCTTTCTCCTGCAGAGCGGCTGGTGGGTTCAAACTGCCAACCTTTCAGTTAGCAGCCGAGTGTTTAACCACTGAGCAACCAGGGCTCCTCCCCCTTCAAGATAGATTTAAAAAAAAAAAAAAGCCCTCAATTTGATGCCAACTCGTGGCAACCCTATGTGTTACAGAGTAGAACTGTGCTCCATAGGTTTTTCTTGCTTGCGATCTTTATGGAAGCAGATTGCCAGGCCTTTCTTCCGTGGAGTTACTGGGTGGGTTTGAACTGCCAAGTTAGGTTAGCAGCTGATCAGAAACCGCTTGTGCCACCCAGGCTCCTTTGAGATAGGTTAAACAGGTATTAGTACTAATCCTACTTATATACATAACACACACACGCACGCACGCACATGTGGGTGTCTGGAGACTGAGGCCCAGAGAGAAACAATTTGTTTGAAGAACCTGCTAGGATGGCCAGGACTCCAGCCCTGTCTTTATATTTCAAATCCCTTGCTTGTCCCATAGTTTGGAGAGAATCTTGGCCAAGGCTGGTCTTGATGCAACATTGCAGGGAAGGGGCCTGGCACCCCATTATCTGAGATGGCAGTTCCGTGCCGAGATCAGTTTGACTCTGCTGTGCATCAGATTCACAGGGAGCTATTCAAGAGGATGGCTTTGTCTCAGGGAGACCTAGTCAGCCCTTCCCTGCAAAGAATATCATTAGCTTGGTGCCCTCGGGAAATATCATCACAAGAGCAGGAGTTAGGTAGTGATGAGGTTAGCCCCAGAGGGTCAAGGTTAAGCTTTCCTTTTTAAAATACAAATTGGGTCATTAATAAAAGGAGCCATCAGGAGGCCGCCCTGAGATCCAGCGTAGCTTCTGCAGGTGTTGCTCAGCCTGGGGCAGAGGAGCAGACACACCTCGCCCAATTACTTTAAGGTCCAGTGATTAAGGGCCTGGGCTAGCATGTTCTGTGGCCCCAAGGACCACAGCCCAGAGCTCTGTGCTCAGATCTGGGAAGCAGGTTTGGGGTTTGGAATAGGTTACCTAGATATCAACCAGTTGCTGTGGAGTCAACTCTGACTCACGGCGACCCCACGTGTGTCAGAGTAGGACAGTGCTCCATAACGTTTTCAATGGCTGATTTTTTTGGAAGCAGATCTCCAGGCCTTTCTTCTGAGGTGACTGAATGGATGCAAATCTCCAAACTTTCGGTTACCAACTGCACGTGTTAACCGTTTGCACCACCCAGGGACTCCAGACTACCCAGATTCCCCTCTTACCCGCACACACACACAAAAAACGTGTTGCCGTTGAGTTGATTCCAATGCATAGAGACCCTATAGGACCGAGTAGAACTGCCCCATAGTGTTTCCATGGAGCGGCTGGTGAATTGCAACTGCCGACCTTTTGGTTAGCAGCCGAGCTCTTAACCACTGTGCCGCCAGGACTTCAGGTGACCTACGTAGGACCCTGACATTTGTTACGCAGCTCCCCGGGCACACTGAGCACTATGGTTGGTGTGGTTGGTGCCTCCTGGCCTAACAGGGACAGTGGAAGACTGTGGGCTGGCATCACTCACAACTGAAACCAGATTGCACCTCTCCAGGGAGTGCTGTTTTCTTGTACATTGACCGCAGCAGCTTGAAAATGTACCAGTGTGTGTGCCCTGCTGTCAGCTGAGGGCAAAGGTGGTGGCTAGCTTGGCTGTGGAAACAATATGTATCATGAGCCTAACTATGCATTGATGAGCAAGACTATAGCTCAGCTTCCATAGCCAGCTCCCTGTTACAACAGCTGAGAGCTCAGCATTTACCAAGTATTTACAGAGTCATCAACTGCACCAGGAAGTGTATAAAAGTGAAAATGCTGCCAAGACCACGTTGGCTGACCACTCACACTTCCTTAGATGTCATCTTCCTGCCCATTAGCTCTATGATTTTATCTTTGTGTTGCCTCCAAATTTTGCTCTAGTTGGAATTCTAAGGGGAGCCACTGGAGCACACTCAGAGTTCCTAAGGGGAAGGTATCTGCTTTTGCACAGGACTGTCCACCTGCAAAGAGTCCCTGTGTGGCGCAAATGATTAAGCTCTCCCTATTTAACTGTAAGGTTAGCAGTGCGAACCCACCCAAAGGTGCCTCGGAAGAAAGGCCTGGTGATCTGCTTCCAAAAGGTCACAGCCTTGAAAATCCTATGGAGCAGTTCTACTCTGCATCACATGGAGTCTCCATGAGTTGGAGTTGACTCAACGGCCACTGGTTTACCCACTCATAGAGGCATTTGTTTGCCTGTTGTGGCTGCTCAACACAGTCAGAGATGATTTTCTTTAAAGGCCTTCCTGGGTGTCTTCGCATAATCTCCCCTTAGATATTGCAACAGCTCTTTTCAAAATAAGGAGGCTTCTGCCTCCTGAAGGAGTTTAGGTATCATGTATTTCTTAAAGAGATTTACTTAGAACAGGGCACAAAATATACCTCTGTCCTTGTCTAAGTAACTTTGAGGGAGGCTTTTTTGAAGGGCTTTTGGGAAAACTGTCACATATAAAAACACCTTTGCCCAGAACTGGTAAAAAGGTCAGAGTCATCAATGATGTTGTTAGGTGCCATCAGGTCGCTTTTGACTCATAGTGACCCCATGTGACAGAGTAGAACTGCCCTATAGGGTTTTCTAGGCTGTAATCCTTACAGAAGCAGATTGCCAGGTCTTTCTCCCACGGAGTCACTAGGTGGGTTTGAACTGCCAACCTTTCAGTTAGCAGCCGAGTGCTTAACCACTGTGCCATCAGGGCTTCTTGAGTCCCCCTCGAGTGACTGTAATTCCTTTTATACCAAAAGTGCCTATGGGCAGGTGAGTTGTCAGATATTTAGAGAAGGAAGCTGTGTGCTGCTAAGCGCTTCTCAACCGGGCTGTGGAGATGCCAGCTGCCCCCCTCCCCCGGGTCAGCGCAGCTCATCCTGACATCACCAGGCTGTGGACCCTGCGCTTATGAAGCAGCCAGATACACTCTCTAAAGCACAAGCAATGGTTTACAGTCCGGGCCAAATGGTGATGCTAAGCCTGTGGTTATGCTGTGTGAGTTGTATTTGGCAAATCTACAAGGTGTAGATTCATAAGGCCGATTTTGATAATCGACACAGAAGTGCTTTTATATTCAAATGAGGGCCACCCTTCAGCCACCTGGGCAAGCTGCATGTTACTTTCAGGAAGGTTGCTATTGTTCAGAACATTTCTGGAGTTGTTCTGTTGGAGTTCCCTTCAGACCTGCAGTTAAAATTCATTCATACTTTGTAGGCTTATTTCATTTTTTATTTTAAATTTGACTTTCTACATTGTTAATCTGATTTGGCTCTGAATGGCTGTTTCAAAATCAAATCTGGCAAACTTGTATTTACTGAAGACATTCAAAGAAGTAAAAGTGCCCTGATTGAGACCCTGATTGAGACCCTAAAAGTAAAGTTTCAAATATGTCTTGAGCAGTGACCTCGTTGGAATTAGAGCCACTTCCAAAGTGACCCCTCTGAAGAACAAATACTCATTTGATATGTGAGTATCTGCGTTCTAGGAGGATAAATGGTGAGCAAAACAGACAAGGTCCCTGTCTCACGGGCAGCTGATGTTCTCGTAAGGGGAAATAGACTAAACAGTGACAATCAAGAAGACAATGTCATATAGCAAGTTTATGAAGACAGTGTAGTGGCTGGGATCTGGGGGTTGATGTTGTGTGCCACTGAGTCGATTCCAACTCCGAGTGGCCCTGTAGGACAGAGTAGAACTGCCCCATAGGATTTCCTAGGCTGAAATCTTTACAGGAGCAGATCGCCAAGTCTTTTCTCCCGCAGAATTGCTGGTGGGTTCGAACTGCCAACCTTTCCATTAGCAGCCAAGCACTTAACCATTGCACCACGAGGGCTCCTTGTTCTAGGGGTAGGGAGTAGGTATATGGAGAGGGGATTGGGAATTTCAATTGATAAATGAGTGACAAGAGGGGAAGGTCTATGAAAATCTGGAGAAGAGTATTGTAGGTAGAAGGAAGAACAAGGGCAGAGGTTCTTGAGATAGGAAGCATAATTAAGTAAACTGTGGTACTTACCTTTGAGAACTTCATGCAAATATATAAGAAATTCTAATATGCTCATTAAAATTAAACCCTCTGGTCAAGGAAGGTACACTCTGATGCCTCTAATCTACTTGAGTTAATGACTCCAGTTAAAAGGCAGAGTTCAGAAAGGAGAGATTCAGACAGAGGACTCTGGGCGAATGGGATAAAATCAGGTCTGAGGTCCTGGCCTGGGTCAAGGCCTTGTTACGTCTTAAGGGTTTCCTGCTCCATTTGGGGGATTTAGAAAACAACAACTTAATTTGTTTTTTTCATAATTACCTAGAACTGCATTACTGTCCAACCACGTGGATTTTCTGTAACATTTTTCAAATGAACTCATTTAAATGTGTAATTTCAGCTTCGTGCCATGTCTGATGATGGATTGTCTAATCTCGAAGACCCAACCTTGGCTCCTCTGAAAGACGCAGAAAGGTTTGGGATTGTGCAGCGTTTGTTCGTCTTGGCTGACATCAGCCTGGAGAGACTGCAGTCATCCATGAAAGCTGTCATCCTGAAGCACCCGAATGTTTTCCCACTGATTCTTTGTATCACCCTGAATGGACTCTGTGCTTTAGGCAGAGGACACGCGTAATGTCATAATGAGTTAGCAGTACATACTATTGGCCAGGAGCCCTGGTGGTTCAGTGGTTAAGAGCTTGGCTGCTAACCAAAAGGTCAGCAGTTTGAATCCACCAGCTGCTCCTTGGAAACCTTATGGGGCAATTCTACTTGTCCTATAGGGTCACTATGAGTCGGAGTTGACTCATTGGCAACAGGTTATTATTGGCCAAGGCTGGGTGTTTTTCAGCAGCCATGAAGATGCTACTTTGGGATTTAGGTCAGTTCCATGTTAAAAGTTGATCAAAGAAATGCATTTATGAAACAATGTAATAAGTAGTGCACTATGAATGACCTCACTTTTAATGACCAGCTACCTTTAAACAGCTTCTTTTTTGTAAGAGGCCCTTTGGTGCTGGTATCCCAGTGTCTAAGTTAAATCCCAGCACCTGAAGAGCAAACCAGTTGCCATCGAGTCGATTCCAACTCATGACGACCTCATATGTGTCTGAGTAGAACTGTGCTCCATAGGATTTTCAATAGCTGATTTTTTGGAAGTAGATCACCAGGACTTTCTTCCTAGGCACCTCTGGCTGGACTCAAACCTCTGACCTTTCAATTAGCAGCCAAGTGTGCTAATCATATGCACCACCCAGGGACTCCTGAAGAGCATAAGCTAATATGCATTCAGACCATTTTTTTCTGAAGAATTAGAAAATCACTTTCTTGCATTTCCCACTCTCTGTTTTACAAAAACAGGAGACTGACACTTTGATCCAAAAATTCGTTTTAAATTGTGAATGCTCTGGGAAGACAATTTCTCTTCATAGAAGAGCTATTTTGAATGCACTGTATGTTATATGGTGATTGAAAAATGAACTGTAAATGCCACTAGAGTACAGATACTCCTCTACTAAACAAAATTATACTAAAAAAAAATCTCATAACAAGACATCCCTGCATGCGTTTTATTTTACCTTGCTATTCTGATGAACATACTAATTCTATGTTTAGAACAATATATTGATTTCCTGTGCATTCTGGGAACTTAATTTATAAAACACTACATAGAATATCAGAGTAAATTTGAACTGTGTATGGCTGTGTGTGTATATTTGTTTTTTATTTTGTTTTCCTATCCTTCTACCATAAATATCCTGGACAATTTCCCTGGTGCCCCTGACTCCACTGGCAGGATTTGCTAATACCCTTCAAGGACATGAAGCCACTTCTGCTTTCCCTTAGCAAAAAGCAGCTAAGACCTGGAGCTATAATTTGCTTCACTTTCGGAGCAAGGAGGCAGTAGGGGACAGGAGTAGCAATTGTTGGATGAGAAGCAGGTTACCCAGCACGTGTTCTTTTTTACCTCAATATCATCCACTTACTCCTTCCTGCCCGTCAGATTTTAATGCATGTTAACCAGGAAGAGATGAAGCAGATAGCCCCTTCCTCACCTCTATTAAAAGTGAGACTCTCTGTTACGGTTGATGGAAAATTTGGAAATGGATAGTGGTGCTGGTTGTACAACAGGATGAACCTGATGTCACTGAATTGTACATGTAAAAAAGGTTGAAATAGCAAACATTTTGTTTTATATACATATATTTACCACAATAAAAAAGGAGACTCAATCTTAATGCAAATATGAGAAAATAGGATACAAAGTTGTACATTTTAGTGGCAACTATATAAAATTAAGCACTTTCTACACAAAGACTGGAAAGGAATATGTAAAAGTGAAAATAGATGTGCTAGGATGGTGACCCCAGAGCTGCCTTTTGGTCTGGTTTTCTGAAATAAGAATAAAGTACAAACTGCAAATAGAGTATGTAATATGAACCTCCTTGTGTAAATAATAGATCAATATGTATATGGAAAATATCTTTTAAGAGTTCACAAGAAGCCTAACAGTGGCTACTTTGGGAAGAAAGACTTAGATATTGGGGTAAGGGCCAGAGGGGGATGTTTTACCTTTTTCTTCCTGTTTGAATTTTGTATGCTTATCCTCTAAATTGAAAAACAAAAAAACCTGAAGACTTCAGACAGAAAAATAAGAGTATTTAAAAAAAATTTTTTTTATTGCACTTTAGATGAAAGTTTACAGAATAGTTTCTCATTAAACAGTACACATATTGTTTTGACATAGGTTAACAACCCCATGACATGTCAACACTCTCCCTTCTCAACCTTGGGTTCCCTATTAGCAGCTTTCCTGTCCCTTCCTGTCTTCTAGTCCTTGTCTCTGGGCTGTTGTGCCCCATTAGTCTCGTTTTGTTTTATGGGCCTGTCTAATCTTTGGCTGAGGGGTGAACCTCAGGAGTGACTTCATTACTGAGCTAAAAGGGTGTCTGGGGGCCATACTCTCAGGGTTTCTCCAGTCTCTGTCAGGCCAGTAAGTCTGGTC